AGAGTGCTAAAGTGTACAATAAAAATATTCTAGAATTTTATAGTGAACATTGTAGGATATTAGAGAGCATTACAGTAGTAATGTACTAATCAGTACATTAGACAGTTAAGTGAGCAGTGTAAGGCATATTAGAGAAAACTGCAGCAAGGGGTACAAGATACATTCAGGTGTATGACAATGAGAAATGCAGAGTCCTTTTTTATTCATTGTTGAAATACTGGCATCGGTGGTAATGCCAGCATTTAGTGCCACATCCTTAATCGTGCTTAAGATGCCACTGGCTGCCTTTGAGCTGCTGTAGTACCTGTGTTATAGGTATAACCATTGTGTTGTTTGAGAGGGTAATTTCAGGTTTTTGATCGACTGGGTACGAAGGAACTGAGATATCATTCCGAGTCAGAACAGTCAGTGTGAGTAAGAGGGAAACTTACAAGTGGCAATGTTCCGATGTGTCTGTTGCCCCTGTCCTTCAAGGTATAAGAGATAGTGAGGTTGGAAGGTATTATCCAAGAACCTTGACCAGTTGCTGCACTGCATCATGTGCATGTTGCTGCCACTGAGCATCCAGTAGGGGATGAAGAGCAAATGTAAGGTGGTGAATTGGGGGTGCTGATCAAGCCAACGCTTTCATCTTGGATGACGTTGAATTTGTTGTTAGACCTTGTCCCAAGCAAGTGGGGATCATTCCATCACACTTCTGACTTGTGCCTTGTAGGCTATGGACAGGCTTTGGGGAGTCAGGAGGTGAGACAGTCCTCATTTTATTCCTAGCTTCAGCTCTTAAAGCCACAGTAGTTATATAATAGAAATCATAGAATCCCTACAATGTGGAAGCAGGCCATTCAGACCATCGAATCCACACTGACTCTCCGAAGAGCATCCCACCCGGGCTCACCCTATCCCTGTAACGCTGCATTTCCCATGGATAATCCACCTAGCCTGCATGTCGCTAGACACTATGGGCAATTTAGCATAGCCAATCCATATAACCTGCACATCTTTGGACTCTAGGTGGAAACTGGAGCACCTGGAGGAAACCCACACAGACACGGGGAAAATGTGCAAGCTCCACACAGACAGCCACCCGAGGCTGGAATCAAACCCGGGTCCATAGCACTATGACTAGTCCCGTTCAGTTTCTGATTAATGAGAATACCCAGAAGGTCAATGGTAAGCAACTCAGCTAAGGTAACACCATTGAATGTCAACAGGAGGTGCTTAGATTTTCTCCTGTTAGAGATGGTCATTGCCTGGCACTTGTATGGCATGGATGCTACTTACTACTTGTCAGCCAACATTTGATTGTGTGTCCAGGTTTGGTTGAAAATGAGTTTGGTCTGCTTCAGTACCCGAGGAGTCGCAAATGATCCTGAATATTAAGTAATCATCAGTTAGCGTGTGACTTCTGATTGTGTAATAGAGGGATGGTCATTAATGAAGCAGTTGAAGATGTTGGGCCTCAGACACTACTCTAAGGAACTCCTGCAGAGATGTCCTGGAACTGAGTTGATTATCTCCAAGAACGACAACCATCTTCCTTTAGCCAGTATGACTTGCTGCTACCACAGACTTTAAATTTGCTTGGGCTTCTGATTGTCACACTCAACCAAATGTTACCTTGATGTCAAGGGCAGTCACTGCTGTTGCAAAACAGATTTATTTTTATTGAATGTGAAGAAATCGAGAGGAATATTAAACTGTTGGGGCACTTTCAGGATTGAAACAAAGAGTTTAGAACCACGTGCTTCCTTAAAAATGATGTCAACAGTTAAATGTGTGCTGATAACAGAAAGTGAAGTGATTTTGGAGAAGCAGTCAAGCAAAGCTATGAGGTAAATCAGAGACATTTTTTATGGCCCTTTTTAAGCTGTAAATCCTCAATTTGAAAGACAATGGTGCCCATGTATTGACTGTTCTGTTTCTGGTCTTGGTTTTGTGTATCTACAGACCTAGGTGATCAGAAGAGGGAAAAAAGTACTGAGAGTATGTCTGAGAGGGTTATAAAGAAGGGGAAGGGTCTTTCAGTATTAGATTAAGCAGTGTGAGTTATATCAGAGAATGTTGTAGTGATTCGAATATGTCAGAGAGTGTTGTAGTAAGCATGTACAATATATAAGAGTGTGTTGTTGGGATGGTACAGAATACATCAGACAATACCACAGACAGGGGTGTGTGACATTCAGTGAACTGAGCAGTTAGTGCATTTTTAAGTAAAGCACACTTGTTCAAAGTGGAGACTTCTGCATTATGTAGATTTTATGAATTCTGTCTCGATCTTTTAATATATTTCTACAAACATAATATTTCTGATTATATATTATTCATGAAGTATTTATAGCACCAGAGGACTCAGTAGCTCTTATTAGAGCCATTTATGGCTGTGCTTGGTGCTATTATGCACAACACAAAAGTAGACTTGTCTTGGCAACAGTCATTTACTATAACATTTCAAGCAGTTCATCTCTCTCTCTGCCATATCTCATTAGGAAACATGCTGGCTTTTTGACAATTAAGAGGTGTAAAGTTTTTTGTGATTTTGGTGGGTTCAAAGGGCAGCAGGCTGCGGACATAAGCATTTATCCACAAACAACAATGGTATAATTTTTAAGATGTGATCTCCTGCACTCAAAATGACTTTCAATGTGAGAATTAATTTCTTAACAACAAGGCAATCCAAAATGTTTTAAACAAAGACTACCGAACATGGAGTGTGTGTGTGTGTATAGGATTGTTTGCAAAACTTTCTCTTTCAGTTGCAGGACTGAGTTGGTCGGTTTAGCTCAGTTGACTGGATGGCAGGTTTGCAATGCAGAGTGATGCCAACAGCATAGGTCCTATTCCTGAGATACCGTGAAGGACTCTCCTTCCCAACCTCCCCTCTCACCTGAGGTGTGTTGACCCTCATGATAAACCACCATTAGTCACCTCTCCCTAATGAGGGACTAGCCCTCTGGTCTGCTAAGTCTGTAACAACTGTATCTTTGCCTTCCTTAGTCCTGGGAAAATTGAACAATGACGACTTTGCTCACATGAGCTTAACGTGACCTTTTTTGTTTATTTGCACTAGATATATCCTTATGTTTCCTGTCACTGGTCATACTCATTCGGGGACCTTATCCGCCATGATCTGGAGAGTGCTTTCTGCGGTGAAATATCTAGCTAAACAATAGTATTCCTGAATGATGCAGGCAGTAACCTTGGTTTTGTATACTGGCTACTGATGCCACCTTATCATTTTCTTCTCTCTTTTTTCAGAAGGCACACTAAAAGCACAGAACGGAGATGATACACAACTTCAAACGAACAATTAACCCTGTTACACACAATATAGAAATGAACAGTATGAGGGTTTCACAGTGAGAAAAGCTAAATTGTTAAACCTTCTACAGTGGAAAGCAATAAATATGCAACTTTACAAAATCTCTGAACACTGACTCACTTTGCCTTGCTAAGCTCCTCAAGCTAATGGCACACGCATTTAAAACATGACAAATACGACATCATCAACAACTTCTATTTACATTGCATCTTCAGTGCACATCACAGGAACATTACAAAGCTAGGTATGACACCAAACGACTTCAGTAGATATTACTGTAGATGACCAAAGAACTAAATTTAAGAAAATGCTGACAGAAGAAAGTGAGGATGAGGATTGTTGCAGGGAGTCTTGAGTAGGGAATTCTAGTCATAAGGGCCTAAGCAGCTTAAGGTAAGACCACGCGAATAAAATCAGGGATTTTTCCAGAAGTCAGGGTTAGAGACGTTCAAATATCTTGGAGGGTTGTGAGGTTGGAGCTGATTAGGGAAATAAGGAGAGGCAAAGGTCATTCTGGTTTCTGAATGAAAAAAGTAAAACTGAAGCATTGCTTAAACAGAAGTCAGCATAGATCATTGAGTGTGCAGGAATATCAGAATGCAGGCAGTAACCTTTGTTTTGTATACTGGCTACTGATGCCACCTTATCAGTTTTTTCTCTCTTTTTTTCAGAAGGCACACTAAAAGCACGGAATGGACTTGATACACAACTCAAGCGAACAAGGTTTGGACAAGGTCTGCAGAGTTTTAGATAGTCTCAAGATTAGAACACAGGATTTGAGAGGCAGCAGTAGATTGAAGGACACTGGTGAAGAATGGAAGTTTGCCTGGAGCTGGAGGCTCAGGGTGTACCTTTTGTCACCCAACAGCCATCCACTGAGAAGGTGTGGAGGTGTTAAGAGTGATGGCAAGAGGATACCAGCATCATGGCATCTCCCTGGAGGCTCTACAGGATCCTCTTGTGGTGGCTACATGTTAAAGCAATTCGCAAACAGACCTGACCAGTCCATTGGGACCTTGATCACCAAATGGATCCAGTCATTTGATGCCCTGGACCTGAGGAAATCCAGTCGTCAAAGCAAAACCTACAGACTCCCAGACTTGTCCAGCCACATCCATTTTGGTTTGACGTACTGGGACGTTCTCCAGTACAAAGCATTCATGACCCAGCTAATATATTTGTGGGCTCTTGAACGTACACTGCATATGCAGTGGTACAAGCAGGCAGCACAGCAACACCTTCTCCAGGATAATTAGGGGATGGGCAATAAATGCTGGCCTTGCCAGTCCAGCTCATATCCCTTGAACGAATTTAAAAAACAAACTTGCCTTCCATGACAGCACATAAACTAATGACCACCTGACCAACAACATCTCCAAGATAACTGCTGCAAGAAGTCGCTCCCATCAGCCTTGTCCTGTGACTAGCCCATTTACTGTCAGCTCTTCCTTTATACCATTTCACCTCCGGCTGCTTGTTGAAAATCCACTCACTGTTTCGAAGTAATCTGGATTACTGTGGTAAGGAGTAATCATCTGAGTAATTTTAAGTGCTAGTAAAACAGACAGAAATTATAAAAATGACAACTAGTCATCAAAAATCTACCAGAAAGGCGGTTTCAAAAAGGTGTAAACCGTGAATATTGAATGGTGGAATACGACATTGAAAATGTAAAACTCACTCAGAAAGAAGATATCCCTGGGATCTGGTTTAAGCATATCTGCAGCATGCAACTCTCGGCGTGCCATCTTGTTACCTCCAGCATGACTTGCACGGGTTTGTGGGATATGATCAACACTGTTCATCTTCAGTGATGATTCGTCTATGATTAAAAAATGAACCTCAGTACTCAGAACTGGAAACACAATATAGTATTAAGGACATGGAAAACACAAGTTATCTGCAATTAACACACAAATATTCAGGCATACTCAATTATGTGCGCTGTAGACATTTGATTTGATTTGATTTATTATTGTCACATGTACCAAGAAACAGTGAAAAGTATTGAATTGCATGCAAGCCAGACAAATCATAGCTTATGTAAGTACATCAGGGTAATGGAACAGAATGCAGAATTTGGTGTAATATCTACAAAAAAGGTGCAGAGAAAGATTAACTCTAAAATATGACAGGTCTGTTCCTAAGTCTGATAACAGAAGGGAAGAGGCTGTTCTTGAATCTGTTGGTATGTGTTTTCAAACTTTTGTATTTTCTGCCCAAGAGAAGAGGCTGGGAGAGAGTATAACTGGGGTGGAAGGGGTCTTTGATTACATTGGCTGCTTTCCTAAGGCAGAGGGATGATGGAGTCAAGGGAAGGAAGGCTGGTTTTCGTGATGGACTGGGCTGTGTTCACAATTCTCTGTACATTATTGCAGTTTTGGGCAGAGCAGTTGCCATACTGAGCTGTCATGCATCTGGATAGTATGCTTTCTATGGTGCACCTATAAAAATTGGTAAGGGTCATTGTGGACATGCTGAATTTACTTAGTCTTCTGAGGAAGTAGAGGCGTTGGTGTGGTTTCTTGACTGTAGCGTCAACATGGATGGAACAGAACAGATTGTTGCTGATATTTACTGCTAGGAACTTAAAGCTTGCGACCATGTCCACCTCAGCACCATCGATACAAACAGGGGCATGTCCTTCGCTCTGCTTCCTAAAGTTGATGACCAGCTCCTTTGTTTTGGGGACATTGAGGGAGAGAATGATCCCATGCCACTAAACTATCTCCTTCCTGTATTCTGTCTCATTGTTGTTTGAGATCTGACCCACTACGGTGTTGTCATCAGCAAATGTGTGAAGGGAGTTAGGGCTGAATTTGGCCATGTAGTTGTGAGTGTATAAGGAGTATGGTTAAGTATAAATCTCTCCTTTTGAGTACCTGTTGTCCATACAAAAAAAGTTAAGGGTCTCTTTTTAAACTTCACATTAAGTTCTGATTAGTGCTTAATTCCTTTGCTCTTCCTTTCAGCTGACAATGATGGAGAAGTGCAGTTGCACAGGCATCTGCAGTTCTTTGTTACCTTGTGCAATGAGCCAACAGCATCATGATTTGTTCACACACTATACTACAGCAGATCGGCACCCCATCATATTAGATCCTATGACCATTCAAAGCAAAATTGAGAGTCTCTGAATGGTTATTAGGTGAGGGATTTTTACTTTGGCCAAGAAATCATAGAATGCCTACAGTATGGAAGTAGGCCATTTTATGAAAGTCGGAAGTACACCAACCGTCCGAAGTGCATCCCACCCAGACCCACCATATCCCTGTATTTCCTATGGCTAATCCAGGTAGCCTGCACATCCCTGGACACTATGGGCAGTTTAGCATGGCCAATCCACCTAACCTGCACATCTTTGGACTGTGGGAGGAAACCGGAGCACCCGGAGGAAACCCACACAGACACAGGGAGAATGTGCAAACTCCACACAGACAGTCACCCGAGGGTGGAATCGAACCCGGGTCCCTGGCGCTGTGAGGCTAACCACTGAATCACCCCTTAAGACAACAGACATTCATTGTGGCGATTGGCTGTTGGTTGGAGATCGGGAGGAGCTGGTTTTGGATCGGAAGGAGATTTTTTTTTTAAACTCACTCACCCAACAAAGTCTGGTTTACAGATGTACGTTTCGAATCATATCAATGTCTAGACAACGACGGACATTCAGTGGAGAGTAGAACATGTTCAAGGAATGCGAGTGCTTCACGGAGGGTGGTAAACATGCTGCAGACGTGCTGACTGCCTGTGGTAAAGCATGGTCTGGGGGGGGTACATTGGTGTAAGGTGGCATTGAGATGGTCAGTTTGAGGTAGTTGGTGATCCTGAAAAGCCAGAGATTGAGGAACTGGGGAGTTCGACACATTATCGGGGGAGATGAGTTGAGGTCGTTTACAGGTTAGCTAGTTTGAGCCTGAGAAAAAGACTCTTGCTACTTCAGGCTCATAAACAATGCTATGAAAGAATACACCCTACTGATCCCACACTTCTCACCTCCTCTTACCTGCTTGACCTCCCAAATAAAGCAAGGAAAGTCTGGCCAATATTAATTAAATATTAGTTATCGTGCTGAAGCGAAGAAACACAAAACATTTTCTTATACTGATCAATGCATCATATGACGGCCAACTGGTCAACTATAAATGGAGATGGGCTGATCCAAGTGGCAATTCTTCATTTGCAGTTTTGAAAATATTAACTTCCCACCTGATCCAAACCCATTGGTTTCAGTGGTTAAGATTACTTACCTTGATTTTACAGCACACGGACTAGGTATATGGTCAGCTACAGACTGAGATTAGCCACCCCTGTATAGAATGGAGCCTGAGTGTTGGTGTCTTTATGGCTGTGCAACACATCATGCCTTGCATTATTATCTAGTATACCACGGATAGATTTTGACTGGCCTTTAACGATAGCAAAAAAATGGGGAGCAACAGCGAAAAAAAAAAATCTATCAGGGCTTTTACAGCCCACAGGATTATTAACAGATGCAATGATGGATGGCACTTGAAATTTAATCTTTCAACACCACTGAGGCAGGGAAATATTACTTTTTTGCTGGAGTCGCATTTATAGCTGCATTGAAATGTCAGCCTAGCTGTTGCCTGAGCTGCAGCTAGAGAGAAGCAATGTGAGAGAATATATTTCCCATTTGGGACAAAGTCTAACTCATTTCAGAAGCAGAAACAACTCGAGAGTATCCTCTCTCATACCTCCAAAAGTCTTTTACTTGAATTTCCTGATTTATCAGTGATAGAACCATTATTCAATTGAGTGTAATGATATAAAGTGTTGATACAAATAAAACACAATACAATGCATGGTTTAAATTGTACATTTTTACATATAACATGATTGAAAACAATATAAGTATTCAAAACAAAGAATAAAATTCTTGTTTCCATGAGTATAAATTTAGTGATAAAATAACAGTAAAACCATCATCCTGTAGTCAAAATTTGAAAAGATATACCATATATGCTCAAAGCAGTAAAAAGCACTGACAATGCACAATTATTACAGTCCAATTAATAAGACCCATTAGCAACGAATATTGATGGGGGGGTCAGTTAGCTCAGTTGGCTGGGCAGCTGGTTTTACCATTAGTGTAAGATACTCAGCTTAATATAACTGGAATGTAAATTTAAAACAACATTCACAAAACAGAGGCATAGTGACATATTTCAAAAAATCAGATGATGAAGGGGACAACTGGTGCCAATCTTTATATTCTTCTGTAAGCATTTTATTTAAGAGACAATCACAAGCATGCATTGCATAACCAAACAACTACAGTTCCAGTCTGTTCATGTCTATACAAGCACTAAGACATCTTCAGTGAATGTTCATCACTTGCATATAATAAAATGATATTAACGTACAATTATCAGATTTCCTGTCTATCTTTAATTCAAGACAATAATACATAAAACCAATTATCAAAATAAATTGAAACAAAGAGCTCCATATTAAGTACAAAATATTATTTTGTGAGATGTCCTTCCTCTAGGACTTGCAGCAATTTCTTTATGCATGCATTTCTTTTTGCAAAAACAACCTGACAGTGGATGCCTTGCACCTACTCAAATGATATTAGAAAATTTGGGTAGAATCTTATAGGGGCCTGCGTAATGTGGGCAACAGTGAGATGTGTTGCAAAATTGGCGAGGCCCAATATTATGGGAGATCATCTCACTCTGCCTTTTATGGTTTTGACAAGCAGCATGGTGAGCTTCTCAATAGGGCAGGGAATTCATGTTTGTTAAACACCTTATTAGCCACAAGTCAGCTTATCAGTATTCACCATTGCATTATACCAAACAAGGTTGACTGTGGGAGAACTCATTTCATTGATAATCATAGAATCCCTACAGTGTGGAAGTGGGCCATTCAGCCCATTGAGTCCACCGTGACCCTCCAAAGAGCATCGCACCCAGACCCAACCCCCACTTATCCCTGTAATCCTACGTTTCCCATGGCTAACCTACCTAGCATGCATATCCTTGGACACAATGGGGCAATTTAGCATGGCCCAATCCACCTACCTGCATATCTTTGGACTGTGGGAGGAAACCGGAGCACCCGGAGGAAACCCACACAGACAGTCACCCGAGGGTGAAATTGAACCTGGGTCCCTGGCACTGTGAGGAAGCAGCGCTAACCACTGGGCACCATGCCAATCAATTAAGGAAACCAGAACTTGTACCTGGTGGATCAAACTCACTGTTTGCTCCAAATGACCTCCATGTTGCCTCTGACCAAACTGCAGCCCCAGGCACAATCCACGGGCACTAGCTGCATGTACCCATTGACCATGAACACTGGCATGCATCATTTGCCAGCCCATACTGGTACTCCTGCTATTCACTGGCTGTGAGATCTGGAAGCACACCGTTGTTTTGCAGGGACCACCAGCAACCTACATTGAAAGGGTTGGAGCAGGTACACCTTGAACACAAGGGCAGGCCCTCAAGCTCACTGGCTGGACTTGGCTGCATCTCAGGCATGCTTGCTTAGTCTCTCAGCGATTGCTCACTGAACACATACCTGATTGCTCGCAAAATTCCTGCCTTGCCTTGGTGTGTCAATTAGTGCAGTCACACAACCAGGCAACTAACCTTGCTACTGTCCTCAGTCTACAGGATGTGCATCTTGTTGTATGGCAGTGTGCACTGTCAATCTCACAACTCCTCCATTTGCCAACAGCTTACACAGCAAAGACAGCTGAAACTGTAAAGCAGAGACAGAGGGGTGCAATCAATGGTCAAGAGCACCTTGGCTTCAAGATGCAGGGGGTGTGGTTGGCTATGTGAATGA